ACTTATCAGATCAGAAATTCTTCACTTTGTGTTGGCATGTACACGTTTTAAAACTCATTTAACTTCGGTTTAACCCTAGAATCGACTAAACCTTAGCTCTGATACCATTAAATGTAACACCCCCAACCAGTATCTGACCCGGATCCGAGTCCGATGTGTCACATTGACTTTTCAAAACTTATACTTGTATACCAATATGAAAATTTTCCACTTTATTTCAATAAAGGTTCATATTATTACAAATAGAATATCTTCAAAATGAATCAGAGCATATATAATTTAAAACATTAATTACATGTCAACTACTTTCAAATAATAACATACATATGATTCAAAACTCTTGTCTGATCAGATTATAGTAAAGGAGAGCTGACCTGTCTTGCTCATCTTCGATCCATAATCTTCTTGAATCCTACGTGTGAAGCATTCACACGCTATGTCTTTGACTTAGTGAAGCATATAAAACGTATAAGGTAACTATAACTGTTAACAATGAATGCATGCTTCATACTATCAAATCATACAACCTCATATACACATTCATGTAATATATATATATATATATATATATATATATACATACACATATATCATTATATTATATAGTATTGTATATTGTTTCATGTTCATATAATCATTTATATTTATACCACTCAGCTTATATCACATTCTCCTGTCATCCTTTGAATCATTCATTTTACAAAATTCTTAATCATATAATTCTAACCATATTCACCTATCTTATCTCTTATTTCTATATGCTTCTATTTATCATATAACCCATAGACTCTTGTTATATATTCTATATCATATTCTCTTGTACTAATTCTTTATATTCTATTAGTTCATTTTCACATAATTTTTCCACATAAACAAATTATCATAACTTATAATAATTCTATTCCTATGATATTCTCATATGACTTTATTTCCTAGATCTTTATATTGTGTTTTATATTACCTAATAATTTCACAAGTTTTAGATAACCATTTCGTTGAAACATATAGACTTTCCTATACAACTTATTTCTGTACATGTTTTCTATTTTATGTACTATTTATTTATCTCAATTATTTTATCTCAATTCTCATTTACTAATATAATTCCATTATACTAGTTCACCTACAAAGTATATTCTCACCGTACAATCATAATTATTCTATTCATATAATCTTATAGTCCACCACTTCATTACATATACCTATACTTATGGAGTTTACATCATTTCTTATGTAATTACTTATAACATATCATATAAGTTTATTATATTCTCTTATATTCAAATATATTATACAAACATATTTCACATAGAAACTATAACATATGCAATCAATACAACCCATATACTCATATTCAAGTGCTCAATCAGATATAACAATCATATTAAGTTTATTTATATTATTTCTTTATTAGCCCATGCACACTTTGGAGAAATATGTGAGTTCATTGAGGTTGTGGACTTATGTTGTTACCACAACTTGTATAATTCCCACTAGGGGCACTTAGAATTTGTCCTGAAGGACCATTATGTCCCGAAGGACCACTATCACATATGTCCCGAAGGACCACTCCTTAAGAACCATATACATAATACAATGGACCAAATAAGTGTACCGAAGTACCACATATATGTTCCACAGAATTACATATATGTCTCGAAGGACCACATAGAACCCTCAACTCTTGGCATGCCAACTATACCTCTAGCTCTCATAACACGTAACATGGGCATTGACTTTCATATCATTTCTCATATTTATATAGATATTGTTCACCTTCACATATCACATATACTTTTCTTCATATATCTTGATAGGTATGGCTCATAAACATACCAGTAATTATGTAATTATGTACCAGGTTTTTTATTATAAATAGAGATGTAACCTAAACCTATGAGACATTGAATAAAACTTCTAGCGCCGCCTAGGCACCGAGGACGTAAGCACATTGCCGAACCTCGTTAAAATTCTTGTGTTCTTTCGTTATCTTTGCCCGATTCTTCAACATATCTCATGGTTCTTCCACATAGCTCATTATCACATTTTAGATCATATATCTTATAATAAATTCTTACATCATCACTTGTATTATTTATACTCATTCATAATTACACTAACATGTGCTCACACATATCATTTAACATATGCAATAGTCAATAATACACATGTATCATGCCAAACATATGCTTATATTAATGAATTCATGCATTTTACTATAGGAAATAAACTTGTCACAAGTCTACTTTCCATTACACATCATATAACTAATACGCACACACCTGGCCTCACTAGTTAATACCGTTCTCTTATATTTTCCTCGATGCCTAGTACCTGTAAACTTGCCTGGACGTTGCTCTCGATCAATATATACACTAATACACAATCCAATAAATATCGAGATTCAAATTACTTGATATGATTCATATAAATATAAACTAATTAAAACCCTAATTTCAACTTTCCAACTTAAATGGTATCGGTACCACCCTCACGGTATCGATACCTCTATGCTAGGATACCGATACCCTACCCAGGTACCGTTACTAAAATTAGCTTCGAAGTTCCCTGGGTGTCGATACCCTCCACATAGGTATCGATACCCCTTCCATATGGTATCGATACTTTTCATACAGGTATCAATACCCCATGAATCAATTCCTCATAATTTGCCTTGTGGTATCAGTACCTACTCAATAGGTATCGATACCCCTTACCCAAAAAATGCTTCTTAGCCAAAAAATTTCCAACACTTTACTTAATTCTTCTTATATAACCTCCTTTTTGCCCTTTAAACTTAACTACACTTATTTTAACCAATTTATACCACTTTAACTCATCTTAATATCCAATATTCTATCTTAAATTTGGAAACCAAGAATCTTACCAATTTATCAACATGTTCTAAATTCGTTTCTAAGACTTTAAATTTCTTATTTTGATTGATGACAAGTCTAATTTCACTCCAAAATCCATTTACTCTTTCTATTTCAATAATTCACTCAAAACTCATTTTACCAAATCACTTATATCTTGCTCATTCTTGAGTTTTAAGCTACCTTAAGTTTTGCTTAAGCTTTCTTATCACTCAATAAATCAAAACCAACTTTAAAACGAAAGAATTAACCAGCTTAAGACCAACTCACCTTTAGCCAAGCACCCACGGGAGGAAGAATATAACTCCAGAGCTTTCTTTCTTTTTTCCTTCATTTTCCACGTGGTTACTTCTCTTATAAGGGGAAATAAAAATCTTTCTTGTGAAATGATCATTATAACCCTTACTCCATCAATTATTTACTAAAAAAATCCTAAAAATATTCCTAATTAAGTCCCTAAACTTTCCAATTTTTCAGAATCAGACTTTAAATTTTCAAAACTTCTATTTTAGTCACTAGCCCTTCTCTTGGGTTGTTACACAGAATGCTCAGCCGCACCATGATGTCTACAATAGAGTAGAAAGTGCAGTATACGAGTATACTAATTATTTCAATTTATCAGTTAGCTTGAGCATGACATGAACACTTTTGGTATGACTTAGTTATCAGTGTGGCACTGGGCAAGTGAGCTCAACATTTTGAATTTGTTTCCTTACACATATTAGACAAGGAGTAGTCCAAGGACTTTGGGCCAGCAGTGATCCAAACCCAGTTAGTGCAGAGTACATCTCATGTCATCTATATAGAGGGCATGTATACTTGTGGACCCTTTGTATATTTTTGTATGGTTCGTAACTTATTTTAAGCGATGGTCTGTATCATTTGAAATAGTATTTTTGGGAGCTCCTGGTGTAAACCATTTTATCTAAATTGTGGTTGATTCATTTTAGCATGATTGTTTACAAATGATCATTTTTTTTATTGAGAATTGTTTTAAAAAAATTTGGTTAGCCACTTCGGTGGTCCTGTGTGTCATTCTGGTCGGTCGACCGTGTGTCCTACTGGTCTAGGGTGTTACAATAATAGTAATATCAAATGTATCAATTGTATAAAGGCTTAAATTCACCATTGTCCCCTGAACTATACTATTTGTACTAAGTTGCCCCCTAAAGTAGTTTTCGGGACGTTCTGCCCCTTAACTGTAAATCGTTACCCCGTTTGCCCCAAATTGTTAAGATCGTTAAAAAATTCACCGACCAATTAGAACACGCCACATCAACTCTTGATTTTTATTTTCTTTATCTAAATAAAAATAAATTAATAAAATAAAATAAATAAACCACCAAAATTACCCTCCTTCCTCAACCCTACCTCCCTGTAAATTAACGATCCATCGATAATAACAGCTTTATCAATTAATAAAAAGAAACAAAATCCTAAGTATAGCTTCTAAAATAACATTCCCCAAATAATTATCATTGGAACAACCATAAGGCACAATTATCATTGCGAATTGAATCCAATCCAAATGAGTTACATCAATCAGCATTCATTAGCTGCAATGTCTAAATAAAAACAACTTATAACTCTCAACAATGAAGAATATACAGTACTGACAACACATGTGAGTACCATAATATTTCTTCTAATTTGAAGCGAAATGCAAACAAGAATTAACCAATATTACTAAGAAAAACATTGAATATAAATTTAAATATTATATACAAACCTGAGCCATTGTGGCACTGGGATTAAGTCCCAAATTTGTCAATGCAGGATCTCCAGTCTCCACATCACCTCTAGAAGACATTCATTTCATTTGGTCCAATGCTTCAATGGTCTTCCTTATCTCTAAGCCTTTAAATTTCTCCTTAAACCCACCATAATTGGAAGGCATATCTTCCAATTTAAAAGACAAATCATCATGGGATTTAGAATAAAGAGATAGATTGGAAAGGGAGGAAGCATGGTTTGAGACTTTAACCTTGTTGGGTGATTTAGAAGAGAATAAATATAGGATTTTGGGTTGAATGAAGAACTAGGTAGGTACTAGGTAGGGTTGCGGGAAAGGAAGATAGAGAAAAATAAGCGATGACGAATGAAGATTGAGAAACTGGGCTTTGGCTTTGTTCTTCAGTTGATTTGATTCCAGGGTTTTCAAGAGATTGGGTGTCGAAATCCATGGTTGTTTCTGGTGAAGATAATAAAGCTAGGCGTGGAGGAGAGAAGGGTTAGGAACACAAAGGTGTGTTGGGAGTTAGGGAAAGGGGTGGTGTTACGGGGGAGATTGGTAGACGTTGGGGGAAGAGAAAAGAAGGCAATTTTGGTAGTTTATTTATTTTATTTTATTAATTGAATTTTATTTATTTAGATAAAAAATAAAAATTAGGTGACGTAGCGTATTCTGATTGGTCCATAAATTTTTTTAACGTTATAATTGATTTGAGACAAATGGAGTAACGATTTATAGTTAAGATGGGAGAAACTCGATACAAATTGTATAGTTCAGGGGGCAATTACACATTTAAGACTTACATAAATAATAATCCCAAATAATAAATGTACGATGAAAGAAACTGAATAAAATTCACATTAAAAATAATAATTTTATCTAAAAATAAGTGATGTGACCCTTTAAGTACTAACCACCTAAGTCTAAATATCTAAAAGATAAACTAAGGGGTGTAAGCTATTAAGCTTAGTGTATTTCTAAAATGTAACCAATCACAACAAATCATAATCACAAACCAAAACATAATACTCGTGGCATGACAAAAATGAAAGTGTAAATTCACTCAATTTCTTTACAGTGTTTGAAGAGTATGGTTTCCCAAAACCACTTTCTTCTAACACTGTTTGAAGTGGAAATTCACCTTGAAGGAAGAACCACTATTAATCTGAAGCGAAATTCATCCCAAAGGATAAATTTACTAAACTTCCCTGATCATAAAAATCGAACCCAATAAGATATGTCAACAAATTTAATACCCCAAATTTTGGCTAATGACTAAAATATAGTTTTGGAAGTTTGGTGGTTAAAGTATAAACTTTATAAAAATTCAGGAACCAACAATATATTTTTGAAAAGTTATATATTTGGCCCGTAAATGAATAGATTGTCCTAAAACAAGAATTTTCATAGGAATCAGAATTTTGGTGCGAGATTTGTATTAAAAGCTATAGAGCGATAAAGTTTGGGATAGAAATCGGATTGAACCGAAATTTCACAAAAAAATTCAGGATGCTAGATAAGTGTTGGAAATATTATTTTCATATTTTATATTAGTGAAATTTAGTGTGGATCAGTAGAATTGAAGTTAATTTGTTAGATTTGGCCGAACAGTGGAATTTTAGTGACTAAAATATAATTTTTGAAAATTATATCGCCAAAGTAAAAGTCAAAGCCAAATCGGTTCATCTTTGACTAAGGAATGTTTTAATGTAAGATATTGTAATAGCATAAGGTAATTATCAAGGTTCATGAATAGTATTTTGGGAAATTCTCATTAAATGAATTTTAAATTCATTTAAATTATATTATGCCATGTGATAAGGATGATCAATACTAGAATAATCTAGAGAAAAAATCAAAATTATCAGCTCACCATCAAGCTAGGCTAAAACCACCATTGTTACAAGGCAATAATTTTATTTTTGATTTTTTAAGCTATATACTTGATTTTAGGATTATGTTATTGGTTAGAGAATTAATCTACATGAAATTCTATATTATTTGGTGTAAAATATTATATGGAAATCATACTTTGGTGACGAGATTGGTGATTAGGGTTCATGAGGAACAAGTTTGATTTAGATTATTCAAGGCTTGATTTTTATGTTATTGGTGTGCTGATTAATTTAAAGGCACGAGTGATGATTAAAATCAAGTGTAGACATCTATATAGTGTTCGACCATAATAGCGTTTAGTGAAGTTGGATGGATTTTGATTCAATTTGATGTTGTGATGATTGGAATTGCATGAATTTGATCATAAGAGGTTGAATTCATGCTTGAAACTGAATGAAATTCTAGCCTTATTGCACTAGGTAGGTTCGACCACAAGGGGAAAATTAAGGGAAAATGTTTAAAATTTTCTTATGGTCTAAAATTGATATTTTATTTGTTTTATGTGTTTTGGAGATTGATTTAGACCAATTTGGAGCCTTGAGATAATAAAAGGACTATTTTCCAAGTTTTGAGAATTGTGAGACATTATTGCATAAATGCATAAATTGGGGTATTCAATGTTGATTTTTATGTATGTAATGCTGAGATTTTAAGTTAGATTAAGAATCAAGGACCAAAGTACAAACTTGGATGAACTTGATGGAGGAATTTGAATAGTCATGAAAGCTTGGGACTTACTTGTGAGTTTTTAAATGTGATGGTATCATTTGTTAAGAAAATTACAATGCTGGAAATTTTAATTAGCATGCTGATTTTTTAGTTTAAATATTGGTTTGGGGATCAATTTGCAAGTTTATTAAAGTGAAAGGTTGAATTCAAAAAATCTAATGAAGTTTATGATGAAATTGCAAGTTTTTTCATGTTAAAGTATTGAATTGAGTATGTTATTAAAGTGCTGGAAATTTTGGTAATTAATGTGAAATGATCATAATGGTAAAGAGACATTATGAATTAAATGGAAAGGTCGATATGAATTCTAAAAAGAATTCATAATTAGTGGCTTGATTGTGAAGTTGATAAAAGTTGTAGGGTTGATGATGAAAAATAAGTATTTATGAAATTGAATGAGTATTTTGGGAAGGTTGAAATTTATGATGAGAATATGATTTAGTTTGATATCGATTTAGTATCGATTTTATTTTATAGACTTTTATATTGTTAAAGTTAACTTATGTTGGTATAATACTACCATATAGTTCAATATTTTATGTTATTATTATGTGATATTGTCAGACCACGATAAAAATAACGATCCAAGTGGCCCGAAATGAAAAGACAAAGCATGTGAGTAAAGGAGTATCTTATAAAGTTTCAATAGTGGGGCAAAGGTGAGTGCAATTTATTTATTTAATTATTCTGATTGAGGAAGACTTGAGATAAGTCAACCTCATACTATTTTTAAAGAATTATTTTTAATAAATTATTGATTATTTCCATAATGTTTAAATAAAAGCTTTATAAATGGTTATAGGATATGAACTGCTCAAGTTTATGTTTTTACGATGATGAATAGAAAATGATTCCGATATTGAACCGTTGATTATTAAATGGTTATAATATTATCTGAAAAGCCCATGGTATGTTGAATTGAGAGTCGTATGTTCATTTGGCATGCCACTGTGTTGAGTAATATTGATTACTGGCTCCGTTGGTGAAAAAGATTGATTGCACTTCGAGTGCATATTCTGATTGTGATGATAGCACCGTGAAGTGCTTAGCTCGCATATTATGTCTGACTCACGCACCTTGTATTCTCTTAAATATACTTTAGTCTGTGAAACAAAATGAAAAAGTTTATTAAACGTGTCTGAATGGAAAGAAATATGAGATGATTATTTTATCTGATAATGTTTATCATGATTTTGATAAAATCATGAGATGATATTAATTTTCAGGTTTTTTATGAAGAATTGGCTTGAATAGTCGGTTGGAATATAAAGATTTTATTGAATTCTTTTAAATGTTTTATTTTATTTATGTTATGTTAGATTGTTTTATCTCATCTTCAGTTATTACTACCTCACTAAATTATTCATAGCGCGTGATGATTTCCATACGTTGGTTCTGATAGAGATAAGGGTGTGCAGTGAGGAGCCTACCGATCATCTTTTTGGAGATCATACCTACTACCTGCATTAGTAAGATATCTCTAATGTTACTTTTGACTGTTAGTGGCATGTATATTTATATATGTTAGTTGTTTTATCATATTTATTTTTATATGGTATATAATAGTAACCTAGAACTATTTCGTTTTGGTTGGTTTTAGTATATTAAAATATTATGCATAAATAATATGTATATATAGATTATGTTTTTAAAATAATTTTCAAATTAAATAGTATTTAGGTAGTTTTAAATAGTTTGTGAAACAACACTAAACTGTCTAAAATTGGATTCATTTTAAATGATTAAATATGATTATATAATTTTACACGATTAATGAAATAGTTTTTTAAAGTTGAGAAAGAAATGTTTTTAAAAAGTTTAAGCATTTTTTCCACGACTGTCTGTATATTGACGTGACATCTTCAACTTGTTTTTGAGACGTATACGGGTTATGTGTTACTACAAATTATACAAGTTCTGTTCTAATCAGAATAATAATTTATATTTATATATCTAAATTGATTGGGGATGACAACGGAGTGATGAATGTAATACCCCAAATTTTGACTAGTGACTAAAATTTAAGTTTGGAAAGTTTTGTGACTAAAGTATAAAATTTAGAAAAGTTTAGAGACCAAAAATGTAATTTTGAAAAGTAATATATTTTAGCCTGTAAATGAATAGTTTGGCCTAAACAAGATTTTTCATGGGAATCAGATTTTTGGTACGGGATTTGTGTGAAAAACTATAAAGTGATAAATTTTGGTATAGAAATTTGATAATCAGATTGAGTATAGATAAGGTTTGGAAATATTATTTCCATATTTTAGATCAAAGAAATTTAGCACAAATCAATATAATTTTTCAAAATTGGCAAAACAGTGGAAATTTAGTGACTAAAATACAATTTTCAAAAATTCTATGGCTAAAGTAGAAAGTAAAAGTCAAATTGATTCATATTTGACAAAGGAATATTTTAATGGAAGATATTGCAATGGCATTTGGTAATTATCATCATTCATTGATGGCAAAATTATAAATAAGAATTAAATGAATTTTAAATTTATTTATATTATTAAGCCATTTGTATTATGATAATTAAGTGTAGAAAACTCAAGAATTTCTCATCTTCAAACTCTATTGGTTGTGGTTTCTATAGCTACAATGTATGAATTTTTGTTTTGATTTTTTAAGCTTACATAATTGATTTTTAGGCTAAGTTGTGAAATAGAGAATTAATCTATATGAAATTCTCTATCATTTGGTATAAAAATTACTTTATAAACATATTTATTTTATGATATTGGAGATCAGGGTTGTAATACACCAAACTTTGATTAATGACCAAAATGTAAAATTTGAAAGTTTAGTGACTAAAGTATAAAGATTAGAAA